ACATGATTCAAAAAAAATTCGAATTCAATTTCTTTACATTTTCTTTCACTTCCCAAACTCAGAACACCCGTAATTTATTTTTCCTTTCATTTTTTACCATATTTTTTTCCTTTTCTAATGAGTTTCTTCCTACAATTATCTTTTTTTCACTTTTTACCATTTTTGAAGGCTTCAGCTCTGGTGTAATAACATTCGTCAACCGTACAATTGAAGTTATTGTATTATTTTATATTCCTCCTGCTAGTTTTCACCTTTGCCACTGCTTTCAGGATGTCTTTGGAAAGGACGCCCTGCCCAGTTGGTTATCCACTACGAAAATGGATTCACATTACTAGAGGCGGGAACAGGTTCTAGAACACTATGGAGGTATGCTTTCGACAGACTGAGAAATTCTTCAGACGATGGAAAGAAGTACCTTTGGCTGGACTTTGGTTCCGGAGAGGAAACTGAAGTAGTAAGTGTTGAGAGGATGAAATTATTACCACGCCACCTAACCTAGAAAAATTCCAATTGAAATATTTCTTCTATTCTAGGAACTAGACATGGAAGGATGTCCAAAACCAATAGTCTTCATACTACACAACTTCTTATCTGCCAAAATCCATCGATTAGGACTGTCGGCCTAAGTATTTTCTGTGAATTTTCATTAAACAACCAGTTGCATTCGAAAGCTGGTTTGTCAATTAGTAGTCGTTAAATTTATACCGGAAGATCCATTGTTTCTTTTGAATACATTTAGAAATACTTTCAAGTAAGGGCTTTGGTTGAATCAATTACCGATTTTTTTGTCGGGTAATTTAATTTGTGAAACTGTTACATGTTCGTATGTCAGTGTGAGGCTTCTACTTATATAATTTGACTTGGACGATATAAGTTTCTGCTGAATTTATAACTAGATATAGGAATAAAATACTTTGTCTAATTTCCACTTACTTAATGTATTGATATTAATACGACCAAGGTTTCGGTTTTTACACCATTCTCAAGTGTTCTAGCACTACTGACCTAAATAGAAATATCGGAGTATATATATATCCGAGAGTAGGTAATATGAAATATACTTACATTCATTAATACCAACTACATGAACTTCAAACTGTGATTAATGGCGTTGTCATCTTTATAAATTCAAAAGTGGAGACCTACACAAATCTGTTTATTCGTTAAGGGTTTTATATTTTGAGTTTTTAATTGATTTATTGATATACATGGCTTCCAACAAATTAATTTTCCTTTGTATTAATATCAATACATTAAGTGGAAATTAAAGTATTTTATTCCGATGTCTAATTGAAGATGAATTTCCACAAAATAAATAAGTCATCAATGTCACGAAAAAAAGCTGAATTTATAGCTGAACTTATCGATTTTGCATGTCTCTTAGAGTGAAAGTGCGTCAGAAGAAATTTATTATTTCAGCAAAATTGTACCAACTGCAATATCTATTGATCATAGCTATATTTTTTGTAGTGGTTTATTGCTGTTTTTTTTTTTCGTATTCAACAGTTTATACTTTTGAAAAATAGTAAAAAAAGGATCAATATAGGATACTGTTGTGAAGGGCAAACTGAAAATGAATCAGTATTTTGCCTACAAATTTTGTGGTATATATTAAAGAAGAAACTGATACAAATCATGGAATATGAAACAACAAAAATTAATTGGCGCTCCGGGGCGACTTTATTGATTCCAGTGGCAAAGACGATATCAAAAAACATCAGAATTACCTTCTGAAATCATCTTTGACGACATCGTTGTTCAGATTATACAGTGTGTTAACACGCGAAATTTCCGTCATGACAAGAGTTGCAGAAATGCAAAAAAGTCAGCTTGAAGAGAACGTCGACATCATACTAACCATATTTCAAAATATGGCACCTCCAAAAAATTTTCATCCAATTATATTTCAAACTCCTTGTCACTGCTGGTATTGTTTTGCATCACTCTCCTTATTCTCGAAAAGTTTTCACTTCTTACAAAAAATATTTCGCGAGTATTGGTTTCTCACAATGAATCGAATGCCTGTTCATCTATTCCAGAGTTTACGACTCATAACAATGCCTTTGCCATTGACTCATTTCGTGAAGTGGAACAGGAGCTACGCCCTGGATCGCACAAGCACCAGCCAGAAGTGCAGAAAACGAAATGTTCTGACACAGACTGAAATGAAAATCTGTTTTCACGTAAACCAGCTACGAACGACTATTCTCAAAAGTCGGGACTTGTACGAGCTGAAGACTAACGAGGTCTTATCTTTCAACATGTGATTCCTAACACGGGTTAGACGATAGGAAGTGAAAATCGATCGGTTTGCGGTTTGAATCACCGATTCACACAGCGGTCGTCAACGCACAAGGCACTACATGTTTCTGTTCAAGTTTGAACTTGGGGTTAGTTAGAGCAATGTTCAGAGACTTGGCAAAATATAAGTACAATTATTTCAATATTCATTTGGTGCGAGGTTTGCGACTCCAGTATATTGAACGAAGTTTAGAATTTATCTCCTGCCTCCAAGTTATGGTTCATGATAACCCAGATGTCTAAAAGATGCTGGAGTGATTGAAGCAGGTTTCATAATAAAGGTGTGATAACACGCTAATTACTGCATTTCATCAGTTCAGACATCCATTGTCTTATATAAATTTATTTGAACTCCCTGAAAGGATCTGTAGAAAATTAAAAAGATAAGCTGAAAAAACAATTTCATTAAGCCAAAAACAGAAATTACAATGGAATAACATGAAAGCAACATCCAAAAAAACAAAACAAAAATTAACACGAGCTGAAAAAATTAAAGAAATTATCGACAAGAAACGAAAATTAAAAATGTAAAATTTAGATTCCAAACCAAGTTACTTCACGACATTTCGATTGTTAGTACCACAATCGTCTTCGGGTGATAACTGGACTTATTCCTTCGAGATCTGACTATTTTTAGATCATTCGACTGCTTTCACCTATCTCCTCTTCCCTCTCTTCACTCCATTGGTTATTTTTAGCGGGAGCTAATCGTTTGGACGGTGTTGGTCGTGTTCCGCTAGATTAGATGTAATACGTATCTCTACGCTAGCTTGGCTTAATGCGTTGTTGGACAACATATATGCAGCTTCTTTGAAAATTCTCCCAAACTAGTGTTCCTTTGTGTGGATGATTTCAGCTTGAGCTTGATGTTATATTGATGAGTCCAAACATGCTCTACTATTCCGTATTTGTTGGTTTCTCCTCGCTGCGTGTGTTTCTGTGCTCAGCAATGCGAATTCTCAATGGCCTCTCAGTTTCACCGATGTATGATTCGCCGCACTCGCAGGGTATCCGGTAAAAGTAATTCTTGGAATCGCAGTCCGCGTTTGGTGGCCTGGTTTTCGTGAGACTGCTACGGATAGTGTTCCCAGATCTGAAGCAGGTTGTGATGTTATACTTGGACCCAATCCTTCTCATCCTTTCCGACAATCCTCGGATGTAGGGAAGTACAAGTACTGGTTGCGGCGGCTTCTCTTCCTTGTGGAGCTCTTGCTGTGAGTGGGTTTTCGATCTACAGATGTTTTCCATTTAGTGTCGGTACTCTTCAGCAATACGTCTAAGAATGGCAATTCATTGTGGACTCCCTTCTCCATTGTGAAAGTGATGGAAGGAATTACGTTGTTAATGTGCTTCAGGAAATTGTCTAGTTCTGCATTTCCATGGTTCCATATCATGAAGGTGTCGTCCACGTAACTCAAACAGACTCGAGACTTCTTGTGGGCTTGTTTAATGGCCAGAGTTTCAAACCACTCCATATATATTGGCTATAACCGGTGGAAGTGGCGATCCCATTGGCAGTCCCTCATCTTGCATAAAGAATTCGTCCTTCAGTTGGAAGTAGCAGTTTCGTACACAGCATCCTAGTAATTCCATGCTCACTTTTATCGGTGAGTTTGTTCAATCTTTCAGGTTCCCATCTTCGGATAGCTTCTTCTGTATGATTGGAAGTGCTTCTTCGACAGGAACGTTGGTGTCGAGGCTTTCCACGTCGAAACTGATCAGTTGATCCTGCTCTTTGGCTAAATTTGCTTCTAATAGTTCAACAAAATGCTTTGCATATTTCACAAAAGATGATTTTTTTTCTTGCTGTGGTTTAACTATTTATTGGTAGTAAAAATCTGAAAAATTTCTGAGTGGCTGAATCTCTTCAGCTAATGATCGGTCTGAGCGGAATATCCTTCTTGTGGATTTTGGGTAGTCCATACAAGTGAATAAGCTTACTGTGGTGCGGTGTAAGCAATGATCTTTTTTTTCCGAAAAATAGACTTGCTGTTTTTTCAAGATTTGATACAACTTCCTTTCAATTGATGCAGTAGGGTATCTTCAAACAAACGCTGATTACTGATCCAATCATATTGGATAGCAGTAATTCTAAACGAAATAGAGTGTGAACGTGTGGTGTTGACTTATTATTATCAATATACTTCAGGAGGCCATATTTTCACTAGATCACAACGTTTAGATTTCCTGACGTGCTCCTCCCCATAATTTGCACATGGTTACCCAACATTGTAATGAATAATATGCTCAGAGACTGATGATAAAAAGTGGTGCAATGCGTTGGTCAGCTTGTTTTCCTGATATGACTTCATTGAATTTCCTATGAAATTGTATACCAAAGGCCTTGTGTGAAGTGAGAGACGTTCAAGTGAAGTATACAATTGGTCGGTCGGTAGCCAGGCGGTTCGACGTGGGTGCTTTGTTCAGTCACTCGAATTGACTACCGTATTGGTCGGTGGTTCAAGCCATAGTCTGAACGATCGATTTTCACTTGCTATCGTCCAACCCGTGCTAGGAATCACACGTTAAAATATGAGACCTCGTTAATCCTCAGCTCACACAAGTTTCGGGGTGAGTGGCGGGGGATCACTGTCTCTCTCTTATGGGTGTTTGACAGTCCCCCGGTGCAGACCACACGGCACTCACCCAGTAAAGTTATCGGTCAACCACCCAATCCCGCACCTGCGGGTAACAGGCGTTGGCCGGTTTCAAGCTAGATGTGTGGGAGAGGTGTCTCGCAAGAGCCCTCGGCGGTTACTCATCAAACGCTGGAAAGGTAACTTTCCTAACATGAGTGCCCCTCGGGGTAACGTAAGGGTATGCGGTGCAGACCACACGGCGTACACCCAAAAGTTGTTGATGAACCGCCCTATCCCGAACCTACACGGGTAATGGGCGCGACATCTTCGACATATGATGTGTGGTAGATGATGCTCGAGAGAGTCCTCGACGGTTACTCATCAAACGTTGGAAAGGGAACTTTCCTAACATGAGTTCTAGGGGGGAGGTGAGTGCCCGCCTGCGGCTGGAGGCTAGTGAGCCTCATCTCCAACTGGCGTTGGCCTCTTAGGGGCAGCGGCTCCGCTAGCGGGTAAAGGGATACAGGGTTGCGGTAATCCATTCATGGGTGCATTGCAGCCCCATACTGAGGCACTGGACGGCTTATGCTGTTCCGTGATCCTCGCCTGCTTCTGTACGGATCCGAGCGTTCGAGGTGTCGGGGCTCGCGGTCCTTCCGGGCTCTAGTATCCGAGTCTAGTCTTGGAGGGCACCAAGGCAGACGCTTGAGGTGTCGGACCCCGGTTGGACGGAGCTACTAGTATCCGAGCTCAGGACCCCGACCGGCCACTTCCGGGACCATATTCCCAATTGATTTGGCATGGTTGGCGGGGGCAGGTGCACAACGCGAGCACTCTCTGGCGAAAGAAGAGCTTAGTTAACTTGTACGAACGTTCGGTCGAACGCTGCCGATGGTCCTGTCTCTTGGTTAGCCACACTAAGTAGATTTAAGGAAGCAATTCCGGGTTCGGTGAGC